CCCCTATTACAGTACAACAAACATACATACTTTAGATCTCTTTGGTTGGGTAATTAAGCACAGATATGTTTGATGAGACACTCTAGGGTGGCATCATCTAACAGTGCAGTAAAGACTTCTGATGATTCCCTCCTCGAATGCGTACATTCCGCTGAAGTTTCATATTTGTTGTAAGGCACAATAAACCCAAATCGCAGAAATAACCGGTTAGTTCTGGACAAACAGTACATGCAGCAAAAGCACAAACATCCTCTGAATGCGAATCCCGAAAGTCAGAAGATTCACCCCCAACTTGAGTTCAGAAATGTAAGAAGCGAGTTTTAAATTATATGAAACATACAAGTAAGGTATAAAATATCCTTCAAGATAGTAACTGCTAGGAGATACAGGAAGACTTCAGGTCTCCTTGCTTGTAAAATGTCATTGCTTTTGTTTCCAGAGTCATAACATTACTATTATTTTTATGACTTGAGATGCTCCTTGACCACAAGCACTAGGCGATCCATGCCCCTGGAGTCCTGCACGTGTATTTCATACAGGACTGAAGGGATGCGCCCTCTTGGTTGTTCATCTGCCCTTGCTAAGAAAAGTGCACAGGCACCGGAAATCTACACACAGGAGAAGCTCCCGCGCACGCTGGGCCAAATTCTGTCCCACTTAATTTAACTGAAAACAGGTACTGAGGTGATTATGCAGGATTTGAAGCCAGAATCTGTCCATTATTGTCATTCACCTCGGATTGACAGTAATGACAATAAAGATGGTTCCAGCCTTACTTCTGGGTAAAGCAGCTTTCTGAATGCGTCTTCCTGAATCCACAGGCAGGGTAACGCAGGAAGTGAAAGAGGTATTTGCTTCCATAGAGTGTGACCGAGCCGTCAGAGCTGTCCGAGTATCAGCCTTGAGCACTGGTTCACATCGCCACCGCATACTGGGCCAAACCAGTCCCTGACGCAACCCCAGTGAAATGAATGGACCACATTCTCGACTGGTGTGAAAGGACACGGGCCTCAAGGGACCTGCGCTAGTTTAGATGTCCGTGATTTATGTGGCTGAAATGTCCTTTTAGGTAAGACCACAGGAATAATGCTGCAAATAGTCCAGACAGAGCATTTAATGCAGTATATTTCTGGTTCTCTGCAAAACTCCGAGTGAAACAGAGACAGCTTTAATTAAAAGTAGTAAAGAACAAAGGGGTTTTTAACATCGTGCTTCGCAGGAATTTGCTTAAACTTTAAGCTTATTTTTCAAAGCTGAGTCTGGGACCAGAAAAGTAGTAGAATTTGGCAATGTTTCCTGTAAGATTTCCAGTGGACTTACAAGTTACAAACATATGTGAAGTTGAAACGATCCTTTATTCTCATCCGTAACAGAGAGGGAGGGAGGAGAAGGAACGTATGCCAGATAGACATGCCTTCCATTTAAACAACAAAATGTGATAATAAGGACTGTCTGTGGGGCTTAGACGCTCACTGCTGTTCACGTATGTGCGAGATGAGCATCCGCATCCCCTAAACGCCGTGTAAAATCCTCAGTCTGGGAATCAGTGGAGCAATGCCTCATTTGCAGCAGTCGAAGATCTGGCCCCAGACACTTTTCGGGGCTTGTGTACTATTTAGAGCAGTCAGCCTGCTCGCCTGAGGGCCACATAATAAAAACTGACCCTTATTTTACAGTAGGAGTAAAACTACTATTTAAGTATCTATTTTAAAAACACTGTACCGTGCAATGAGTCTTTATATTGTGCATACGTACCTGCAGAAAATATGAGGTTATAACTACGTTATCTGGAGGGAATGACACTTATTTTCAATGGGAGAAAGAAAGAGTAAAACATAGTAATAAAATAAGTTACTTGATATCTGGAAGACTAGAACAGATCAATCTTACTTTGTCCCAACCCACTGCTTTTATGTACATCCTCCGCTCCCGCCGAAGAGCGGGAGTCCCCTATTTGAGTACCAGACACTCCAAGATACACGCCACTGTAACAACGTACACAGTTGTCACGTCAACTGTGCTGTAAAGCCAAGGAATTCAGAGCCTCAGCAACACAACAAATGCAAAGGAGGAAAAATAATAATAAAGAAGTAACAGGTACTGGTGCAACACCAGAGTCTTCTCAGTTATGAGACCTGATCGCGTCAACAACTGAGAGCGCGCTCCGAAATACACTCTAGCTTGCCTCCAAATATAGTCTGAGCTTCACAAATGAAATGTTGAGCCTCAAACTACTCCTTCAGAGCCATGCACATGTTCTCCATTAATATGGCAATGATATGGGGTCCTTCTAATTTTCCAAAGAACTGAACAAATTCATGCAAAGCAGATACAACTACTGTAACTGTCATCACCATCTTGGCTTCTTATGGGTGAAGAAGAGGTGGGAAGCAGATTGCTCATGCTGGAGCCCAGCAAACACATAAACAAGCAAAGAGGAGAACTCTGGACTATCCAATTCCCTGCTCAGGTGGAGATCCCTTGAATGTCAAGGGAAGTTGTGCCAGGGAAACATACAGCTCCATGTTCTGCTTGTGATAATCTCCACTTTAAAGCGCTTGCCTTAAACACCCCTTTTGCTTGGGAGCACACGGGGACAGCCAACTGCGTACGGGCTGCTTTGGTGTGCAGAGCACCAGTGGCTTGGTACGGCTGCAAAGCGCACACCTTGCACTCTTGCTCTTCCATTTCCCTGCATTTTTACCCTGCAGCCCTCGAGACCCTGGCTCCCAGCATGGACTCCAGTGCTTACCAACAGAGCTCAGCTTCGAGGATCCACAGAACACCCTGCAGAACACACTGTACTCAATATAGTGCAAAACAATAGCGAGGATGCCTATGCCACGCTCATGGCGCACAGAAAAAAAACCTTCATTCCTCAAAGGCCCTCCACAGAACAAGTAACAACCAAGACAGAAACAGAGTGGGATGTGCTACCTCTATTCTCTTTCCTTTCCATTTTTTTTGTCCTTTACTAGTGATCTCGTTTTGTCCTAAGCCTGATTTGGAGCCCACAGAAGCTCCTGAAAACATTTCCCATTGCCTTCCAAAGGCTTCAGACCAGGCCCCTGATGAGGATGAACACATGCTTTAGATACGGTATAGATTCACATTAGAATAAAAAATGACAAAACAAAACCACAAAGATTAACAGCGTGTCATTTTTATATATCTGCATTCTTACTATTATTTTAAAGCTTAAGGATGTGCTTAATCATGCTACAAAAACCCCTCTGGAGGAAAGGTAAGACCTGTTCCACCTGCACAGAGCCTGCCTGCTCCTGCTGTCCCAGGCCCAGCACAAAGGGGCAAAGGGCGAGGAGTCCCATCTGCACCCAGGCAGAGCCCGCGCCTGCTCCCACAAGCCCTTCGGGCAGCTGCAGTTCTCACCATCGGCCCCCACGCTGCTTATTCTGGAAGGATATATAAATACATGCTTAAGTGCACTCCTGGATGGGGGCCTGCTTGCTTCAACAGCAGCTGAAGCCCTCCCACACGGGCGACATGGCCAATGGGTCCATGTAAACTCAGGGCTCCCTTCCCTGGCTGCCCATCCAACCTCTCCAGCTCATCTGCCCAAGGCTGGAGCCAAGAGCTTTCCCTCATCACGATGGCTCTGCCCATGGCCCCTCTCTCTGGACTCCTCCTGCCTTGCTGACATGGTGCAGAAGGACCTCTCCTTGGCTCTGCACCGCTAGTAAGTGTCACCCACGGTGACCAAAAGACTTACAACTCTTTTTTAGTCAGACCTAAAACTCTTCTTACTTGTGCAAGCAGGGAGTCAGAGGGTCTACTTGCAGAAGTAAGGCATCAGGATTTGGCCCTGAGGACGGATATTTGCAAATCAGTGTTTTTATTCCTCCTGCCACTGTGCTTCAGTAACAAAGATAAGGCCACTAGGAAGAAAGGCACGTGGAATTCTGTAAAAAATACACAGAAAGGTTCAACTAATTTGCAGATTACTAACAGAACAAACAAAAAACCCCTGAACACAAAGACAGAGAGGGTAGAGACAGGGACCTCCTGGGTTTGTGAGACTGGGAGTTCATTTTCTAGTTTCAGTGTGATTAACATTTTACTTTTACAGTCTATTGCTTGAAAAACTACAAAAAAGTAAAACCTTGTCAGAAATAACTACGTTTACTTCCTGCTCAAACAATAAAAATAAATTAAACAGCCAGAAAATGTTCTCCTTTTCAATGCATTGTGCCTAAAGTGAAAGGGAACATAAACCATAAATAAAATCCATTGTACTAATTAAAAAAAAAAGTCTCCTTTACAAGAACTGAAACAATATTTACATTCATACTGGAGAAAGCTTCTGAGTTGCATAATTAAGAGTTTCAAATGATGCTTTTTCCGGTGCACTGACAAAATGCTAGCTGTAGCATTCAGAAACCTCTACGTGTTTGATGCGACATTTTTGGTTTGAGTGTAAATCTGCTGGAAAAAAGCAAGCACACCAGTAACAAGAGTATTTATGATTTTGTTTCATTTCTTAACCTCAAACAACACAAAAGTAGTCGGTGAGGTATCATCTAGAGTTCCTTAAAATTTCTCAATGCCCACGGACTTCTAGAAGTAAACAGCAAAAATGACTGCATTGTTTCTACTTTTTTGGAGCGAGATTTTTGTTTTCTATCTAAAGTTAGGAGTGTGTACTTACTGTCGAGAGTATGCTGTACTATGGAGAGCCTAGTTAAATTACCAGCGTAGTATCTCTTAGCCAAACCTGTACCCATTCACTCAGTACTTGTCCTGGCATTTCTTTTCTCCTTTAACCTGCTTAAAAGAGAATACTGCATGCAATCCAAGTGTGGCATCCTAATTCCATTGCTGGAAATTCCTCTGCACATCAAATCCAACGATTTAAATGTTCTTCTGTTTTCTTTAAATGAAAAAAACCCACTGAACAAAAAAACCATAACTCACTTGGTGCTTGTTAGGGCCTCAACAGGAGACTTAGCTATTAAAACAGAAAGCAAGGGGGAAGAAAAAAGTTATAAGTCTTGCATATCTTCATCGATCTGAACTGTCTGCAGTTTGGCAAGTTCTTTTTTGTCTGTTTCCAGTTCTTCACAAACCGTGTCAACCATGTTACTCATAACATACTTGGATTTCGAATCCAGCATCATTAAACTGCCAGTTGACTTACTCTCAGAAGTAGGTAAGAAATTCTCTTTGATGTCAGGTACGGCTTGCAGAAGTAACCTGTGCTCTCTGACAAAATCTTGATGTACCTGTGCGGAGGGGTGGCTGACACGGTCTCCGCTCGTTGAAACTATTTCTCCAAGTGCGGGCTGCGCTGCAGAAATGGACAAGAGATCTTGACTGGTAATGAGGGAACAGTTCTGAAGGGTTGCATAGTTAGCGTTGCTGATAGATATCACAGTAGAGGTACTGGTCACGGGCGATGACATGGACTGGCTCTCCGAGCTCCCAGAGTTCAGTTCTGCAGCATTTAAAAGAGTCGGTGGCGTGAGGGAAAAGTTATGTGAGGGTGTTACATTCACTAACGAGGAAGCCAGAGACTGGAGTCCTCCGCTGGATATATTTTCAGAAGACATGTTTACATTGAGTTGCGTGTTCTGACTGACTGGCATCAACTGAGAAAACACAAGGCTCCTTTCCAGTCCTTCTTGCTTGACAGAGCCTACTGCCTGGCCCGAATTGGGAACTGTATAAACAACTGCACTTGGAGCGAGGGGGCTGAAGAAAACCTTTCCTTGCTGCATTGTCGAAGTCTCGGTCGTAAAAGTTCCTCCATCAGATGTGCTGGCATTTACTGTAACATTACCTAGAGAAAGGGAAGCAAAAGAAAGGAAAACACAGATTATAGTTGGCAGAGTTGTGCAAACATTTTAAGACGTTTTGGTCTTTTTTATGGCTGCAGTACATGCATATGCTAGTATTTCATGCAACACAGAACAGCATTGTTTATAACAGGTGAGAGAGAATCAGCTATGAGGAAAGGAGAGCCATTAATAGAAACTGCTTCTAGAAAGAAAAATAAACCACCACAGTTCTGGTATATTTGGTATCCTTCAGACTCTCATTAAGGTGCAAACAGTCCCTGGCCATGTGATTAAAATGAACGTGCTTTGGCCTTCACTAGTTGCCACCACTCCATTTCTATCTAAGAATAGAAACATGAAAAGCTATTAAAGATAGTTCAGTGACAGACTGCAGCTTGTGTGGGAAACGGGAGACACGTCACATGAAATCCACCACTGTTGGGCAGAGCCTACCTGAGTCAACCTGCACAGAAAACAGCAAAACCCACTAACTTCTACCAGGCTAATTACGCAGTCTGTCGAGCACGCAGACGTATTGCCTTTCACCTCACTTTATCACATATTTCTAAAAGCCTAATCCCACCACTTTCTCAAAAGCTATTTAATTTTAAGAGGCTACAGTTGGAGACACCTCAATTTTTCACAACAGCACTGAAGATGCATTTCTCACCTGGGAAGTATTTTAGTTCCCTGTTAATTTCTGTTAATAAATTAGTTTTTGCAAAATGCTACTCATATGTGTAAACTAGAAGGATAAAGTGAGGCAACTCGAAATTATCCGGCAATAAGATGACTGTATCTTACTTAAAATAGTCTGCAGCACACTTCACTTGGAATAGGCAGACAGCGATCCATCCGCCTCGTGTTTAAAAAAATAAACAAAAAGAAATCAAAGCAGCAAATGCAGATCGTGACTTTTCTGTGCACCAGACCAGACGTATGGCGGATCACTCTCCAGTGGGAACTGGTACTTCTCACAGCGGGGAAAACATTCAGAGAGGAACTTATTATGAACCTTAGGACTTTCAAATACAATAGTCCTGTACTACTCACGGGACAGAACTTTCTCACCTTTGCTAGCTGTCAGTCTATGCCTTGGAGCATGTGGATCAAATGGCTTCTGTAATTACAGGTGGTATTCAGACAAATGTTTTTGCTTTTTCATCTTGGTTAAACTATTTTGCTAGTGACTGCGAGTGCCACGTTTCAGGATTTTGTAAATTTGCACCTATTTAAAATGGGTTTGTATGGCTTCAGTGTTCCTCCCTGCATTACTCTAACAGCAAGGATAACTCACACCCTATACACACTTAATTCAAATAAGCTAACATGAGCAGAGTTTGATTTTCACTATATTCACGGCTCCTGCAACTAGAGATTCATTCAAGTTTAATCATTTTCATAACCAAAGATACAGTGGCTAATGAATAACAAAGCTGTTCAGTTGTGCTGTGTAACTGACCTGCTTCAAAACAAGGATCCAGAACGAAGCTTGTGCTCCCTGGGATCCTTCCTGCCTGGCTGCAAGTTTCACTCTATGGTATGCTAAGAAAGTCTAAAGCAAACATGGGGAGGAGCCTGCACACTTGGCACGTGAACCTGCGATGACATACTTCCCTTGGACTGAGGGCAGTTTAATCCAAGTACCTTGTGTTTTATATCTACAAGCTATTGCATACTTCTGTTGTTTCCCTGCAGTCTAATCTTCCTTAATTATAGGACAGAAAATGTATCAGTGTAACTGCTTGGTCTTCTTGTGTCTATAGTCATTTAACATTTATTTTTATGAAATGCTTTGGTTAAAAAAAAACCAAACGAAAACAACCATCACAAGAACAACAACTGTAACAATTTCCAGCTGCTGTAATTTTCATTTTTATGAACCTTCTCATTAAAAGAATTAAATGGCAAATGGGGACTATTGTGAATTACTGGAATGTGTCAAATTTACAGATATTTGTGAAGACTGCCATCACAGACTTCTGAGAAGAGCACGAGATGAAAGGGGTGTAAAATACCAGACCTCCTTCTCTGGTCTTAGTAGAGGAGCTCAGCCTCGTGTAACAGTCTGCCCACAAACATAATCCACTATAAAGGAAGACAAAAGGTACTACTTGTGCATAGCCATGGCTGACAAAACAATTCTGGCACCTTGGAGAAAAAGGACCAAAGCTTCTAAAACGCTAAGTGTGCCTGATCCAAATGTTTTCTAGTACCTTTTACCGTAACAGACAAAACTTTTACCTTCTGAAGCTGCCACAGAAACAGGAGGCAGCTGCAGAGAAGAAAAACCGATGCTTCCATTCAGCAGCTGGCCATTTGTTCCTGAACTGGGGATCTGGACAATGCCATACTGGTTTATTTGGACAGGAGCAGTAAAAGTAACCACGGAACCTCCATCTTGGGAAGCAGCAGTTTGTATGCTTTCCCTTTTCACCTCTGAGCTCGGTATCAATCCTGGGAATGAGACCGGGATGTTGCTGGCGCTGAAGGTGGCTGCCGTGGCACTGGGGACCGAAGCCTGAAGGAGTTTGAAGTCCTTAACATCTTCTGATGAAGGCGACAGTATGTCAGTAATGGACACTCCGTTGCTCACAACGCTCGATGTGGTTTTGGGTGAATTTAAGGTAACTGTCTGTGAAGCCCCCACGCTGAGTCCGTTGAGAATGACACCGTTGGGACCCTGAAGAAAAGAGCTACCATTGAGGAAGACGGGAGAGGTACTGGCAGGCACGAGGTTTCCATTCAACAGGACGCCAGATGAGCTCAAGGCTATTTTAGTGTTTCCGAGCTGCTGCATGTAGACAGGCTCCATGTGGCCAGGAAGGCTGAGGCTGGTAACGCCGTCGGATGAGCTGGAGAGCGGATGGGGAGATAAATCCTCCTGCCCCTTACTGGATTCATCTTCTGTGCTAGGGTTGCCGTCTGACTCGCTATGGGAAAACACGGAGAGATGACATTGCATTACCACAGCGTGCCAGTGAACCCTGCACCAACGGGGACTCCTTGCCTTGCCACAGTTTGTGAGAGTTTTCCCAAATAATTTTTTCTGGGTTTTGCCATTACAAGACACTTTAAATGAATTTCAAGTCAAGAGAGAGGTTTCTTAGAAAAGGACATATCAAACCAGGGAGAAACTTTGCAGACTAAGTTATGGACGCGTAAATAAATTCCCTTTCCCTGGCCATCCAACCCGGGCGACCTAAGGGGGCTGCTGGGCCCCGCTCCGCCGGCCCAGGGTGCCCACACGTGAGACCGGCCGCGGCCATTTGGTAAACCGCTGGGCGGCAGCTGCGGGAGGTGGGAGCAGGT